CCTTACTGTGGGTTGGACAGGCTATTTCTCATACTCATTGGGCTCTTTGGTTTGGGGGGTCAGGTATTTCTCACGAAAGCACTTCAAATAGAAAAAGCAGGGCCAGTAGCAATAATGAGGACAATGGATGTGGTGTTTGCTTTTATCTTTCAGATTATTTTCTTTAATAATTTGCCAACATGGTGGACAGTAGGGGGTGCTCTCTGCGTAGTAGCCAGTAATGCTGGAGCGGCCATTCGTAAATGGTACCAAAGTTCCAAATGAAGCATCATTTCCAAAATACAGATTTTTTTCAAGTACACCATCACCTAATTCACATACAGCATGCACACACATCTGGAAAATCTGCATTTGTTTCATTGGTTATGTTTAATAAATTTCATAAAGTACCATTTTTGAATATAGTATGTCTAAGAATAGCTAGTCTGTTTGGTCTAACAATTTTTTGGTAGCTTTGGTTTTGGTTTGTTTTTTTTTGTTGTTGGGGTCAAGTTGGTTAGAGGAGAGCTCATTGAAGAAAAACCAAAATATCTTATGACTGGTGATATGACATGTAATTTTAAAAATGTATTTTTGGTACTGATGGGATATGGGTGGGGAGGCTATTTTAGATATTCTTTTAGCAGTGTAGAGCCTAAGAAACTGGGTTCTACCACCGTGATCCTTATGTACTATGCCTTCCAGACAATTGATAATGCTGCTATAATTAGTATTATGTTGATAATTAATTTGCAACCTTATTCTATTTAGGAAGACAAAGTTGAAGCTTAGAATAGGTGCCTACTTAATGGTGTTAATAATACAAATGAATTGGCCTTATTTTCAAGAATTTTAGAAATGATTATCATACTTGTAACTCATATTTGTGCCTTTTCATTTTAATGCTGGAATATTTATTATGTCATCTCTAAAATACTTAAATTGCCACATTTGGCTAGTAGTTTTCTGTTTCTGTGGCATTAGCAACTGCAGCTAGCATTCTATAATTTTAATTGTCTTCAGTGTTTTCGAAACTGCACTAAATTTTTCTTAACATTCCAAGATTTCAGATCTTTAAATCACAAAAAGAAATCTTGGCATGACCAGTGTGCACATTTCCATCCTGAAGTGTTTTCTCTTCACTAGAAATGTGATTTTCTATATATTTTATAGTGTGATGCCAAATAAAATTTTCTCAGGATCTTATTAGGTTGAACCACATGGAATTGCCAAGATTTTACTATTTTAACTTACAAAAACCATAGTTTCATATGGTTCACCCTAAGAGATACCTCTCTTATTCTCTAAATGAAATAAAAGACTTTGGAGTACATGTTTTTAAAGTAATTTTTTAAAGTACGGTAATGCTATTAAACTTATTTTTATAGTTATGAAATTATATGTAATGCTTTATGTTATACATTAAATGTAAAGACCTGTGAATCCATGTTTGATTGACTTTCATAGTTTTCTACATAGAAATAAAATCACTATAAATTCTAGTATATCAGTATGATGTTAAATGTCAGTGCCATACCATGATGCTGCACCATGATACAATGTCATGAATTCAGACAGCACATTTTACATCTGGAACTTCATCAGACTGATACTTTGCAGTTAGAGAGAATTTAATATCTAGAAAAACTTGGGAGGTTAGTCAGGACTTAGGGAGTACACGTAAATGATCTTTGTTGTAATGAGCCCTTTATTGGTGAGGTTGCAATAGCCTTCAGCTTTTATTGTGTCAGATGAAGCATCTGTCATTATCTTAAGCCTGCATAATTGAAAGGTTATAGGCTCTTTCCTATCCTCTCATCATAATTTTTCCAAAGCAAAGAGGAACTTGGCTTCTGGGATTTATGCCGTGGTGAGAAAATCTTTTCCGGTAGTTCCAATGGGGGAATTTTTGGCTTGCTGATTTTATCAATTGCCTTGACACCTTACAGATCCTAAATAAAGTCTATGTAGGTGAGTCATCTCTATTCCACCTAATTTATGGTATTGGAATTAGATATTTGCAGAAACATCATTCTGCAAATATCTTAGATAATTATAGAATCAGGAGCAGTTTAGAACTCAGAGGTCTCAGAAATCATCACATAGGGGTCATGCTCCTTAGACAGGGATGGTAAGGAGGAGACGGCCCAAATTGAATTTCCACTGCCTTCCTCTCTTAGTTGCATGATAAAGTATGGACCGTAAACCACTACTTGAGCCACCTAAGGTGAATTAACTCTCAGGGAACCCTCTCCCAGTTCTTTATGTTGCACAATGAAAGAATCAATGGCATCTAGAAAGTTAAATCCCTTTAGGCCTATCCACTAGAAACATGTTTTATTTCAACAATGTGGTTTAAGTACTTGAATGTCAAACTATATGACTGAGGTTAGAGAAGATGTTTCTTCTAACTCTTATGGGGTATGATTCTTAAACACAGTGTCCAAGGTGTATACAAGGATATGTATTGTAACAACTATGGTTGTGTATATTTTGCAGAGTGTAGTTTCTATATCTTGAAAAAGAAAATATTTTCATAAATTGTTTTTATTATATAAGTACTAATAAAATAATATGAAGAAAGCTATATGTTGGTTGTTATGATTATAGCAGATATCTAATATAACTTATTTCCCTTTCAACCCTGTGCTTCAGAATTTATTCTCTATAAGAGATTGACCTCTAGGCATTCAGCTGGGATGTAATCTCAAGGTTTAAACTGTTTATCTGACCCTCTTGTACTGTCAAGAGGGTCAGGTGAATGGTTTAATCTGTTTCTCTCTCCAAAATAAAGGCATTAATCTGTGCCAGTGAGACCTTCATTTTTCTAAATTCTGAGAGCTTAATGTAGCTTTGAACTCTGGACTTTCTGTTCCCATAGCTAATCTGCTACTCAATCCTGAAGAGTCTTTCTTCTTACTGTTTTGTGGATTCATTCTTTCCTCACCATTTCCACTGCTGTCATCTTAGTCCAACACTTATCGCCCTACACCTGAATTACCACATCAGTATACTGGTTACCTGCTTCTAGACTCTTTCTTCTACTCTGATTCCTGTCCTAGTGCCAGCTTAATGTTCCTAAAGGCCTGCTTTCGTTGTTACTCTGGTTCTCATGAAACCACAGTGATGCCTTATTACACACCATATCACATCAGATTATTCATCTGGCCCTATTCCCACTTCTCTGACCTGATTTCCCACATCCCAACACAAATTCAATACTTAAATAGGTCTTAAACACTAGCTCCCATGATTGCCGGTAGAGGCCTTCTTCTGCATTTCCCTTCTTGTCTCTACCTTCTCTTATTTACCCTCTAAGGACTGTTAGCCTCCAATGGCTCAGCTTGGGCTTTTGTTTCTTCTGGAATCTAGCTTCTCCTACCCACGTAAACCATCTTGGAAGAGTGGGTAAAGCATTGGATTAGGATCTGAAGATCTAGTGTGGTTTTATCACTTTCCAACTGGGCAAATCAACTAATATACCTGAGCCTGTTGTCTGTCCTTGCCCAGTCCCTCTAAAAATGAGTACCATAGAAGGGCTTGTAGACCATTAAGAAGGATGAAAACATTAAGTATTGAACTGACTAAGACTGTATAATTGAGTATTCACTCTTCTCTTCAAAATGAGGCTTATACCAGAGTCCTTATTCCTGAGCAGCCTTACCAGGAACCATAAGAACATGACTATCAGAAAGCAAACTCCATTTGGCCCCCTCCTGCTAGCACAGAATTGTGCTCTTGGACAGCTTTCGCTTCCTAGCTGATCTTCCCATGTCGGGCTGTCAAGGATCACCAGTCCTTTCATGCGTAGGTGTTGTCACCATTCCAGTTCTGGCCCTAGTTCTGATCTTATATGGGTACTATGCTTGGCTCTGACCTGGGAAATGGGCCTGATTCTTGTGTGTTTCCCATGCATTATGTACTCAGTATGGTTCTTTTAGCCTCTTATCTATTGCACACAGTAAGCATAATTAGTGACTTGAGGGCATTTTAGTGGGAAGAGAGCCAGATGTCCTTGTTAGCACCCGGGTCTCTGATCTAGGTGTGAATGGATCCATGATCAATAATGGGCATTAGAATTTGGTTGTATGGGTGAAGGTTGGATATAAGAATCCTGGACACTACCCTAAGCATGCTGTTTTATGCCCCCTTTGGTGCCTTACATTAGATCTAATATAGCTACCATATCCACCTAGAATTCTACAAGATAACTTATCAGCGGCTCTGTGATCCACAAAGATGGATCCACATTTTAGCCTATTTGAACATTAAATTTGGAGCTGGACCTGTAAGACCAATTCACAGACCATGAACCTTGGGACTTCCCATCTCCTGGAAATTGGGGGGTGGGCTTTATAGCAAGAGGGTAAGAAGAAGACATACCTGGTATACAAGAGGGTAAAAGAGGGCAGGAAATGTACCAGAGATGCCCAGTACACAGGAAAAGGTTCTACTGGGCTCAGGAAATGTCACTACTAAAGGAAAGAGCCTGGGCCTCTTCTAGTAAACTTATGTGATTTTAGAAACCATGTGAGATTGATACCAGTAAGCCTGATGAAGCAAAGGAAGTAACCTAGATTCATGATTAGTTACCAGGGTGGGGTCAGGAAAGTATAAAAACACAGTTGAGCAGAAGTAGACTTCGGCAGGAGGAAATGTGTTCAGTTGAATGGTGCAGCATGAAAGTACCATGCCAGGGTCTGGTGCTCCCTGGTGCAGCAGAAGTAGACAGAAAGGCCTGGCCAGAGGAGTGCATTACTAACCAGGAGGTCTGTGTCTGAGGCTATAAGAACCTGGCTGTTCTTACAGCTATTCCAAGTATACTTGGCCGTGATTTAAGATTAGGCTGTTTGTGCCAAGAACATAACAGAAAGAGAGAAACTAATAATACAACTATATTTTATTTTTTCTAAAATTATAGCAGGTGCTAGCTCAATAACAGAATTGAATTCAAAGCAATAGCATAATTCAGAATGGACTAACCTGTTCTCTCTTCTGATGCTCCCCCTGGGAACCCAGCCACATTGCTGTGAGGAAGCCTGGGCCACAAGGAGAAGCCCACGTGGAGAGACCCATGTAAGGAGAAACTGAGGCCCTGATACATGGCCTCATCTGCACTGCCAGCTGACAGCAGCACCAGCCTGCCAGCCATGTGAGTGTTCACACTGGGAATGGATCCTCTAACCCGCAGGTGAGCTGCCCCAGCTGATTCTGTGTGGAGCAGAGACAAGCCTCCCCACTACCTCCTGAGCACTGCTCAAATTGCAGATTTGTGAGAAAAAAGAAACCAGTGATTACTATCTTAAGCCACTAAAAAATAAAATATAAATGATATAACTGTCTTGGATATGTATGTACCAAATTATATACAGTCACAATTACATAAAGCAAAACACTTCAAAGTAACAAAAATAAACAAAAGTTATGACATTTTCATGGGCTTTTCTCAGCCTGTAACAGATAAAATTGGCAAAAATTAAATATATAGGGGATAAGAAGAATAAAATATAATAAAGTTGATCTAAGCCAACTGTTTTCAAAGTGTGGATTGGATACTTCTGAGAGTCCTCAGGACCCTTTCAAAGTGTTTGTGATGTCAAAACGATTTTAGTAACAATACTAAGAACATTATTAGCCTGTTTCACCATCATTCTCTCATAGGTATAGAGTGGAGCTTTCCAGAGACGTGAAATTGCAACAGCTTGAATGCAGAAGCAGATAGGAGAATCCAGCGATTATCTATCAAATTAGATTCGCAAAAATATGAAGCAGTGCCACTCTTCTCACTCATTTTTTTTTTTTTGAAAATAGTCATTTTTTTATTAAAGTGTTTTTATATTAACATACAATTACATCATCTTTCAAAGCCAGCACAGTGGCTCACACCTGTAATCCCAGCATTTCGGGAGGCCAAGGTGGGCAGATCACTTGAGTCCAGGAGTGTAAGGCTGCAGTGAGCTATGATCACACCACTGCACTCCAGCCTGAGTGACAGAGCAGGATACAACAGACTAACACACTTCCTGTTTGTGTGTTTTAGTTCCTTTGTATGTGCATTTTAGAAAAGTCAGAAGAAATCTTTGGTACTTTGCAACGTGTGCATTGGTACAACTTCTAGGAAGGGCAATTAGGCACCATCTGTCAGATTTACTTTATGTACAAAATGATATGTACAAGATTATTTGGCTGGGCGCGGTGGCTCACGCCTATAATCCCAGCACTTTGGGAGGCCGAGGTGGGTGGATCACAAGGTCAAGAGATCAAGACCATCCTGGTCAACAAGGTGAAACCCTGTCTCTACTAAAAGTACAAAAATTAGCTGAGCATGGTGGTGCACACCTGTAGTCCCAGCTACTCGGGAGGCTGAGGCAGGAGAATTGCTTGAACCCAGGAGGCAGAGGTTGCGGTGAGCCGAGATTGCACCATTGCACTCCAGCCTGGGTAGAAAGAGCAAAACTCCGTCTCAAAAAAAAAAAAAAAAAAGATTATTTACTGAAGCCAGATTTGTAATAGTAAGAAAAATGGAACTAGCCTGAATGTCCCTCAGTAGGGTACTGGTTAAATAAGTCATGGTATATACCCAAAATAAAATACAATGCAATTAAAAATAAATTTAAGAAGAGCAAGGAAGCTTTCAATATATGGATGTGGAATAATGTTCAAAATTGTTAAGTGAAAAAGTGAAATTCATATCATGGTTGAGTATGTGCTCATTTGTGTAAAAAGGGAGTAAACAGATGCAAGAAACCGTTAACATCGGTTGGCTTGGCAGCTGAAGGGTGAAGGGAGAGGAGACTTTCCACTGAATCCCCTTTTGCATCTTTTGAGTTTTGAACCATACGGGTAAATAACATAGTCAAAAAAATAAAAACAAAATTGGTGGAACAAAAAAAGGTGACTTGATGGAAAAGCAAGGAGAAAGAAAAGGAGTAAAAGACAGGGAGATACATATATACATTACATCATATATACATACATACATGCGTAGAGAGATGTTTCCTGCTTTAATCAGGGCTTTCATCCTGACTCACCTTACTGACTTCCTTTTCTGCCTCACAGAGTGTGCAGACCATACTTAAATTCACACATGCTCCATGACTGGAGAGAATACAAAAGACTAAAGTGAAGTTCAGCTTTTTAATAGGACTATATCCTCCAAGATCCCCGAAAGCATTGTCTGGCCCCAATTCAGATGTCAGCCTTTCTATGGCACCAACATTTACTGAATAAACCTCATCCTGGCCAAGAGCTTTTTAATCTTTGTCTCGTTCCCTCACTAACCCTGGGAGATAGACAGATCGGGAACTGAAGTTCAAAGGGGTTGAATTGGGTTACCTGTGTGCTAAATTCTAGTTCACTCACTAGTAATGATGAGGCTGGGCCACGAGGTCTGCCTGACTCCAAAGACCTTGCCCTTTCCAATACTTCATGCTCCCTCCATACTTGAGGGTAGCAGACTGCAGGACAGGGAGTCACTGTAGCATTTGTCACTATGGTGGTTGAAAGGATTGTTTTTTGCCTTCGGAATTTAGGGATACGTATGTCCTCCTACTTCATTCTCCACATAGAGCAAAAGCTAGATGTAAAAGAATAGAAGGTGATGACAACACACATATATTTCAGTTTTATTTCTTCCAATCTACTAATCAGCATTTGTTGGGCAGTAGCCATAAACAATCCTAGCCAATGTAAGGAAACACCAGATATTGTCAAGCCCTCACATTGGTCATAATTGGAAGCAAACATGACATATATGCACTATATAATCAGTTTGCATGGGTTACAGCAAGATGTTGCCCAAGAACCTAGGTATGAGCTGGCTTCCTATGGTCTCCAAGCAGGAAAGAATGGAGCTATACGCAGTCATCTGAATATACAGAAGTGAACCCTGGGCCAGCCACATTCAGCCATACTTTCCCTTCCCCAGGCTGTTTCCACGGGCACAATGTACCAATCAGAAGAAAGGTGGCCAGCCTCAGGAGAAAAGAAAGGACAGTGACTATGGCAGGCCTATTCCCATTGTAGAGATGAGATACACCAAGATAGTGAGTTCCCAGCTTTTCTCCCCAAAGCACCCCTAATAGCCAAGAAGAGTCAGGAGGCATAGCTACCATCACAACTACACTAACCACCAAGCTTTACTGTGTCCTTCAGGTGTCTGTCGTAACTAGTTTTGTGATCTGACTCCTTGAGTCCCTGCGACAAGCCTGTTTATTTTCATCATATTGATGAGTTCATATAGCTTGGACAAGTTCCGTGATGTGTCGAAGGTCACATAGCCAATAAGTGTCAGAGTCTTGTTCTCAAAACCCTGGTCTCTCCAACTCCAAGCCTGTGCTCCCAACTCCACTATTCTGCTCCTCACCCTAAGCCTAAAGCTGCCCACTTCAAGCTCAAATCTTCATGGAGGACTCATGCTTAAAAAAAAAAAAATCCATGCAATTTTTTGCATCCTAATTATTAATATATCTGTATGTTTTAGTGTGAAAACTTTTTAAAATTACCAATTCAGTTATTTAGCTTTTTATTGCCCAAGTTTTTGGTACCCTAGGCAGATGTGTCATATTTATCCTGGGCTTTGTGTACCTCTGGTTTGAGGGACTTTTGAACTTCATTTTAAGAAACATGGCCCAATGAGTACATAGTCAAGTCCTCATGTCCTGAACAGCACTCTTGTTCTTTGTGTATTTGTATTATCAAATAACCATGTGACTATAATTTGGCATCTCATATACCATAAGTGCAGAAGAGAATTAACTAATCAGAAGATTAAGTACCTGACTCCCTAAACTGTTAAATTTCCCATTGTGTATTAATAAAATTGATATTGTTTCACAAATAAGACTCTGTATTTTTGGTTATTGTTGCTCTTTCCAGAGAGATAGAATGTATACCCAGCTTCCCTCATCCCCTTTCTTCTGAAATAATATCTCTGTATTAGTTAGAGTAATTATGCTGGCTGTTATAACAGACAAATCCCCAAATCTCGGTCTTAAAAAACAAAGTTTTATATCTTGATTCCTGCACAGTCTGATGTAAGTCGTGAGGTATCTGTAGCATCTCTCCTTTAAGTGGTGATTAGGCTCCAGGCTCCTTCCATCTGATGATCCTGACTTCTTATACATGTAGCCTCCATACGTACCAAGATTTTACATCAACAGTCTTGATGGAGAACATTGTTTCTACCCAAATCCCATTGACTTTAACCTAACTGAAAAGGAGGGTAGGAAGTAAGGGTTCCTCTGTGCTCAACAAGAGGAAAAGAACGATAGCAACAGAATTTGGTGAACCTAAAGCATTGTTTCTGCCATAACCCCCTTCCTTTGGGGAACTGCTGAAACATACATCCCTATTGTTTTGGTGGAGCTGGCAATACAGAATCTTACCCGCAGCGGCCTAGGAAGTGGGCAGACCCACGACCTGAGCTCAGCAAAGTCAAGTTTATCTCTATAATTTGAATCATGAGCAGGGTCTCAAGTACAGAAGGTATACCCTTGAGCTGTCCAATGGCAGTGCCCGGAGAGAAGGGTCTTGGGTGCTGGCTATAGAAATCCTGTAGACAGACTAGGTCCTGTCCCTCCTGATCCTCAGTTGTACAGCTCTTCCATCCAGTCTGTGAGATTCCCACTATCCTTCCAGTTAATTCCCTACTTGTGATTAAGTTAGAATTTGTTCCTGGGCAGGGCACAGTGGCTCACACCTATATCCTAGCATTTTGGGAGGCCGAGGCAGCAGCCTCAAGCTGATTGCTTGAGCTCAGGAGTTCAAGACCAGCCTGGGCAACATGGCAAAACCCAGTCTCTACTAAAAATACAAAAAGTTAGCCAGTCATAGTGGCTCATGCCTTGTAGTCCCAGCTGCTTGGGAGGCTGAGGCAAGGAGAATCACTTGAACTCAGGAGGCAGAGGTTGCAGTGAGCAGAGATGGCGCTACTGCACTCCAGCCTGGTGACAGAGCCAGACTCTGTCTCAAAAAAAAAAAAAAAGAGCGTTTCTGTTACTTGTACCCAATGCAATGATTAATTATTAACTTTAATTAATACCCAATATTTGCCACCTATATGCTAACAAGCAGATTCCCCATCTCTTCATGACTTGACCCTTGGGGATATGATGGGATATCTGGCCAACCTTTTTCAGATGACATGTCTATCTTATTAAGATCTTTAATCTTCTAAGTGCATGAGAAAAGCAAGAAACAGTACAAAGCAGATGTTTAAGGCCAGAGAAGTGGTAAAGACAATGTGCCATCCTCTGCAGGATGTCAGGTGAACAATGGGGTCATATTCAGGTGTGATCTCTGAAGAAAGATCCCATACATCAATGTGTCAACCTATTTCATAGACAAAAATCAGGATTCTAAAATGACACTATCCAGTAGAATTACAATGCAGGCTATACATGTAACTTTTACTTTTCTAGAAGCTGTATTAAATAATGTAAAAAGACAAGTAAAATTGATTTTAATAATGTATTTTATTTAACCCAATACATCTGAAATATTACTGTTTCAACATGTTATCAATATAAAAACTTATTATTGAGATACATTCTTGCCATCATACCAAGCCTCAAAATATAATGTGTGTTTTATAGTTACTGCACATCTCCACTGAGACCAGCCACATTTCAGGTGCTCAGTGGCTACATGTGGCTAGTGAAATGACCTAAGAGTCCCATAGACAGCTGTTTTTGGATTAATGTAGAAATTGGCCCTTCTACTCTTAAAGCTTGAAACTTAAAGCCATAAGTTGTTTCAGATGGTTGTACGTCCACATCTCCATCATGACATTGGCTCTTCCGAGAGTTCGTTTCCCCTCGTCTCAGTAGGTGATTCAGGTAAGCCCTGACGACCCGACTCCGGGCTTTGGTTCCTTCATGGAACATGTGGCACCCACCTCCACTAGCTAGTGAAACTGACTTAACAGTCCTGTACACAGTTGTTTTGGATAAACATAGAAATCGTCCCTTGTTTTTATCTGAGTTCCTTCCTCAGGAAAGGATCCCCAGGCCTCTCAAGAAGTATCAAAGAACTGAAACTACATCATCACATCCACACAATGAAACACCAGGCCCCTCATTCATCATGATTGCTTTCTTATGCCTCTCGTTCCTGTTTTCTTATACATAGTATCATGTCTTCCCTGCTATATAAACCCCAAATTTTAAACAGTCAGAGAGATGGATTTGAAACTGTACTCTCATCTCCTTGGGTGCAGCCCCCAATTAAAGCCTTCTTCCTTGGCAACACTCGTCTCAGTCATTGGCTTTCTGTGCAACAAGCAACAGGACCTAGATTGAACCCCTAGTGTTTCAGTGACACTAGTAGTTAGAACGTTTGACAACAAAGTTCTAAAAAGTACTAGGAAGAAAGGAGACTTATAACAGCAGGCATGATTTCTTGAGCCCTGCCATGTGCCAGCACGTGTCAAAGCTCCTTATATATTTCTCTCATTTGATCCCTGGAAAAGCCGTTTGAGATTCTTGTTTTCTGTATGTTACAAATGAGAAAGGTAACAGCGAGTTTAAGAAACTTGTGTGAAATCACATTGCTAAAAAAGGACAGAGGACAAAACACACCACACACACAGGTCTGTTTGACCCAAAGCAAACACTTTCTAATTGATCTCATGCTTTTCATTTACAGATATGAGATGAATTGCCTTGGACTTTACCCAAAGGTTGTGGATCAAGAAAGGTCCTAAACAAAGCTCAGGGGAATGGGACTAAACTCACCAGTAACATGCGTAGCCAAAGGTAAGAGGCATCTAACATGAATTAGAGAAGCAGAAACAGGTGCTAATACATTTCTCCAGCCAAAAAATTCTACAAGAGGCAATGGTAAGGTGATGAGCAAGGCAAAAACACAAGTAAAGCTCCACTAACCAGAAAGAGATAAGTGAGTTTGAAAATTAACAAAGGGCAGAATTGGTGATAAAAAGTATTCAAAAACTTGGAGATAAACACAATTTCAGTAAAGCTAGTGGAGGTGGGTGCCAAAGTTCCACTTGTAAGGTTGCCTTTGGGAGGAGGAGGAACTGGAACCTAGGGCCAGGTCAGGGCTTACCTGGATCACCCATAGAGATGAGGGGAGGTGAGCCCTCAGAAGAACCAACTTCACAATGGAGGAGATGGGGATGTACAACCATCCGAAGTGTGTATTTGAGAAAATCCCTCTCCAGCAGGTTTCACACAGGTTAGCAGGGTTGACACAGCTGCTTATAGATGCTCTGCCAAGACCAACTTAAAAAGCTAGAGCCCATAAAACCATCCTCAATGAAATAAGAACGCCATGATAAATCTAGTAAATATTTACATTTTGCCTTTTCTGTATTAGTGTTTACCCTTTATGAAATTATAATAGTGGATAGTCGTGTATGTGTGTGTGCACATGCATGTGTGTTTAAAGTCTTCACTTGGAAAATATAAAAGTTAACTATATATTGGTCCTCCAGTTTTATTATTTAAAAAAATTTAATTGTATATAAAATTTTAAAAAACTATTAACTCAACCCTAGCTCCATCCTCTCAGTGTATAAATATGCTCAGATTTCTTTGGATTAAACCAAATCAAACAAAACCTTCCTTAAAACTCTCCTCCCTTTCTCTCCATGTACACCCAACCACTCGTTTCTTCTTTATCAAGCATTCTTTCCTCAACCCACTAGCTGTTGTTTTTTTCTCCCCGTTTTCCACAATGGCAGTTGAATATTAAACTGTGCAATCATTTTCCACCCAAGTAAAGATGAATTAAAATTTGTTACTCAATTTCAGTGTTTTACCTTCTGATTGAATCACTGTTAAAACCGTTTTGCTTTCTTCCTATTTAATCCCCATGAGAGGGTGCAGTATTTCAGCTACATTATGTGTTAAATGGGCCTTTGTCAGCTATCTCGGGAATACAGCCAAGTTTACATGCTTGTATATAAGAGAAAAGCTATGTTCCAAACTGGCTTTCAAATAAACTTTACTGTTAAGTTTTTATATTGACATAATTTCAGAATTACAGAAACACTACAAGAACTGTACAAAGAATTCCCATTACCTTTCACCCAGATTCCCCTAGAGTTAATATTTGAGAGTAAGTTGAAAACATGATGCCATTTACCCCTATATAGTCAGAGGTCACAGTTCTTCATATATATATGAATGAAAGAGAGAGAGAAGAACGTGGAGGGAGGAGGAGGAGAAAAGGAAGGTAGACTTAGGTATTTTATGAAATTAGCTTATGGGATTGGTGGGCTGGCAGGTTGGAAATCTATAGGGCAGCTTTGCAGCCTAGAAATTAAGGTAAAAGTCAATATTGCAATCTTGAGTCTGAATTCCACAGAGCAGCAGGCTGGAAATTCAAGCAGGGTTTCTATGTTGCAATTTTAAGGAAATATACACTGCAGGACTGTAGAAGTGAGATGGTTAATTTAATCTCTCAATAAGCCCAGTAAAATGTGCAAAATCAGAATATTAACATCAATTCAATGCTATCATCTATTATGCCAACCGTATTCAGATTTTCACAATAATGTAATGGATAGCCAAAAATAAAAATCTGGGGAAAGTCAACAAGAAAAATGTTTAAAATTCAGAAACTGAGAAATTAATGAAAATTAATTGTAATTACTTTCAATTAATTGTAATTGAAAATACTTTAAGAATTATTTTTTTAAGCCTCTGATCAAAGAAATTAAAAGTTGGCAATTTTCTGATGGACTCACCCATTTTTTTGAAATTTGGTCTTCCAAATTCCAAAGTCTGGTACCTGACTGGAGATTCCACTCTTTCTCATCTGCTCCAGGAACTTGCTTTTTCTGATTTCTCAAACTCATCAATTCTACTGATTCCCCTTCTACTTATAAATATGTTTAGGTCTCTTCTATCTTCACACCAAACAAAATCAAACAAACCTTTCTCTCACTCCAACATTTCTTTTGGTTTGCATCCTCATCCTTCCCATCCAACCCAGGTTTCTAGAGACCTACATCTGCCTCATTATCCTCCCCCACACATTCACCTCTTGACTGTAGTAGACACCATTGGTTCCTTACCCATCTTCCTCCCTTTTTCCTTGCTTGAATCTCCTCAGTTTTAAGTTCTCCTGCCATGTGCTGGTGAAAGTGCTCTCAACCCAACCCGAAGGGAGGGGCTAAGGTTGGGGTGAACTTCAGTTAGTCTCTAAACCAAACATTCCAATCCTCTTACCAGTGATTATCTTAGACAGGGACAAAGTAACCAGTGCTGACCAATGATACATTAGAGGCAGTCTGCAGGCAACTCCTCTGGGAAAGAGTTGCTTGTTCTCACAATGAGGCTTCTGAAGAGTGTTTTCTGCTTGTGTAAGGAGATGATGCTAGAGCTGCTTCAGCCTCTTGCTGCCATGAGGACATCTAGCCAAAGACATCCCAACTGATAAAATTCATTGGCACCAGCAGACGTAGTTAACATTTTGTAAGCTGGCAACCAATTACTGGAGAATTATATAGTTGTTTATCTCCCAGAATTCAGGGTAATTAAAAATCTATTCTTAAAAAACTTTATATTTCAATTTTAGAAAATATAATTTACTAATATAAAATCATTATTATTCCTTCCTGTTTTTTGTCTTTTTTTTTAAGGAAATGCACAGTATTTATGTTGTGTTGTGTCCTGTTGATGGATACCTTGAAAATTTAACAACTGAATACTGTATTATTTGTAAAATAAATCCTAAACCTGACCAATGACTTCTTTAATAGAGGAATCCAGTGACCTCATCTCTTTGTTATCCTATCTGCCATATGGCCTACAAATTAACTTTTAAATAATAATTCATTCGAGACTGAAATGTCCTGGAATCCATCAGTTCATGGCAATGCTATGTTAGCCAGGGCTCGTGGCCATTCCATTCAATGAGTTACTTTAATACAATATCTTTCTAAGGTTCTGTGCACTTTCTTAAGTATGGCCCTTTCAAAAGGTTGCCTGGCAGCTTGGTCTGAGACTTTTCAGCAAAGATAAAGGTAGTATTTTAAACAGAACAGCTTTTAAGATTCAAAAATCATTAGCAGGAAAGTGACTTTAATGAAGCCACTTTATCAGAGAATGTTGATTTGGATGTCTGCCTGGACCACACTTAGGGAAAAAAGAACTGTCAAAAGAACAGGCTAGGTGCTTATGATTCCCTTGGCTTAGAGCTCAGTTTTACCAGTAGATGTCACTATAGTCAGACATTATTTTAGAGCATCAAAAAGAAAAAGGTAACCCTCACTGGAGTTTAAAGGATCTGAGGGGGGAAAAAGCAAACATGTTCTTCTATAGCTAAACATGTGCTCTTCTTTTTTAAAAAGCACAGTAGGCATCGAATAAATGTTTACTAAGTGAACTGACAATCAATGCATATGGAATATTCTGCCTTGAAATCTTTGTGATTGAGTTATGCTCTGATAGGAATCAGAGGAAGAGCTTTAGAGTCTGTAGAACAAAAATGATCTGTAAGATTCAAGCAGACAGGTATAGAAGTAAACAACTCTGTCCAGAGTCCATTCGTGAGAAGGGATGTGGGGGTTCAAGCAACTCAGCTCTGCAGACTGTTGCACTCCACCCCACACCAGGCACCGAGCTAGGGTCTACTAGAATCAGAGAGGGAGTCATGGTACATAGAGCTGATGGCGAGATAAAGCAGAGGTCATGTGTTCTGCCCTCCATCATGGAGTAGTGGAGGGCAGGTTTTCCTGGCTTCAGAGATAGATCAAAGTTCTAAAATTGGGGTGAAGGAGCTGAGAAACAATTTCCATCAGCTCTCCTTCATACCCCCTTTCTTTTTTTTTAAACTGAGGTTTGCCTGCATAAGGCACAAAGAGATTAGGAAAACAGTTTGCAAACCTGGCAAATTATTCAGAGGTTTGATACAGTGATGATACATGACAACATGTATTATAGCTATTTTGAGCACTTATTACGTGGCACATTCTGCACCAACTCCATTCTCTGATTTAATTCTCCCAAGAGCTCTAGGGAATTTCTATTATCCTTAGTTTTTTGAGATGAAGTATCTGAAGAATGAGGGGGAGCAGGGTTGAGAGGTTAAACAACTTGTCCAGTTAATGAGTGGTAGGACCAGGGTCAAACTTAGGTCTGTATGGGGAGCTCTTCTGTGTTCCTTCCTCAGTTCATTCTCCCAAGGAAACTGACACTAGTTAGGTTCTGACTACCAGCAAAATCCATGTTTTTAAATTTGATTTTGCCTCAATCATTCATTTTAAAACTTTTAATTAGTGAACGATTCTTATGAATAGGGCACTCGTTTTGAAAGACTAGGAGAAGGGGAGTATAGAGGAAAGATAGCAGGCTGTCCTAAAAGAACTTATGACTGAGTGGGAGGAGACATGGGGGCATTTGGAGATGGAAGGAGCTTGGATAAGGAAGGTCACCCAGCATCTGTCTTCTCCATACGGCTTAGGAGGGTTTGGGGAAAGTGGAAAAGATTTGGAACAGCTGCTGTGAGGAACGTGCTAGGTTAAATAATATGTCTGGAGAAGTGAGGGGTATTTTAGGATCCTTCTTTCCACACCTCAGAATTAATGGAGCTTATTTTCTCAGATTTTCCAAAATAAAGATCACCTCTGGCTAGAGCTCAAGCTCAAAGAATTTCTGTATAGAATTTAATCTTGTCTCTTGAAAAACTGTCCTCACTTAAACTTTTTTAAATCATGAAAACAGATAAATCATAACACTGTACTGTGAAGGAGGCTAAAATGCTTGCTTGACTTGCAGTGTTGATGATC